TTAGATCCAGTAATAATTGCTTTATTTATCTGTCTGCTATGATGTTGGGTGCATATATATTTATGATTGTCATATCTTCTTGCTCAATTGATCCTTTTATCATTATATAATGTCCTTCTTTATCTCTCTTTATAGTTCTTTGTTTGAAGTCTTTTTTATCTGATATAAATATAGTAACTTCTGCTCATTTTTGGTTTCCTTTTGTGTGGAATATCTTTATCTCTTCACTATTAGTTTGTGTGTATCTTTATTGGTGAAGTGAGTTTTTTGAAGGCAGTATATAGTTGGGTTTAGTTTTTTAATCCTTCCAGCCAGTTTATATCTTCTAATTGAGGAATTTAATTCATTTACATTCAGAGTTGTTATTGAAAGGTGTTGCCTTGTTCCTGCCATTTCATTAATTTATTATGGTTGTTTTATATTTCTTTCTTTGCTTTCTTTCTTTTTTATTGTTTGTCTTTGCTGTTTGATGATTTTTTTTTTGTAGTGATAAGATACATTTTCTTTCTCTTTTGCATGTCTGTTCTACAAGTAGTTTTTAAAATTCTTTCTCATGTAGTTATGGTGATGTAGAACTCCCTTGAGGATTTGCTCAAAGGCTGGTCTTGTGGTGGTGAATTCCCCGAGCTTTTGTTTGTATGGGAAAAATACTATTTCCCCTTCATTTCTGAAGAAAAGCTTTGCTGGATATAGTATCCTTGGTTGGCAGTATTTTCTTTTAAAACTTTGAATATGTCATCACACATTCTCCTGGCCTGTAGGGTTTCTGTTGAGAAGTCTGCTGTTAGCCTGATAGGGATTTCCTTATAGGTGAGTTGATGCTTTTCTCTTGCTGTTTTTAGAATTCTTTCTTTGTCTTAGATTTTTGACAGTTTGACTACAGTGCGTCTAGTGGAGATCCTTTTGGGGTTGAATCTGTTTGGGCATCTTTGAGCTTCTTGGATCTGTGGGACCACATCTCTCCCAATACTTGGGAAGTTTTTGGCTACTATGTCATTAGTTTTTCAATGCATTTTCCTTTCTCTTCCCCTTCCAGTACACTCATAATACAGAAGTTTGCACGCTTAAGGTCATCAGAAAGATCTCATAGGCTTTCTTCATTTAAAAGAATTGTTTTTCTTTTCTTTTTTTTTTTTTGCTTGTTAAGTGCCTGGTATCACTTAACATAGTATGCTGATACAGCTCCATTAGAAAGTCAGCTTAGATTTGAGGTCTAAATAGATACCGACACATCTGGGTGGGAGGGGGGAGAGGGAGGAGGGAGGGAGGTTTTGGTGATGGGACACAATAACTAACTACATTGTATATTGACAAAATAAATTAATTAATTAATTAATTAATTAATTTTAAAAAATAAATTCCTTTTTTTTTTTTTTTTTTTGTTCCAACTGTGTTAATTCAAAAAACCTGTCTTCTAGTTCAAAAATTATTTTTTCCACTTGTTCTAGCCTGCCACTTAGGCTGAAGAACGAATTCTTCAGTTCCAGGATTTCTGCTTGATTTTGATTCTTTTTTACTGTCTCTGTCTCTTCACTGAATTTCTTGTGCATGTCCTGGATCTTTCTTTTAAACTTCATTTCTACCTATTTTTTTAATCCATTAAGTTGAGTTTCTTTGATATTATCATTGGGATTTCTCTTCAGATGACTCACCAGTTTCCTGTTGTTTGGGGTCTGGCACTGGAGAATCATAGTCTTTTCAGGATGTCATATTTCCCTGTTTTTTTCATGTTTCTCATATCTCTGCATTGAGGTCTGGGCATCTCATGGTATAGTTGCTTCTTTTAATTTTTAGCGTGGTTTTTGAGGGGAGAAACTCATATCTGTAAAAGTGTTTTATGTTGACAGTTGGGTTAGGCTACATAGGTTTCGTTCTTGGTAGGCAAAGTAGTAATGCTGGCTCACTCCTCACACCTTTTCTGCTGTTGTGGGCAGGCTACTGTGTCAAATGGGACACGGGACTCCCAGGGAAAAGGGCTCCCAAGGATAGTTTGTATATGCTCGGCGTGCTATTTGCTCGTGCTGGTGGACTTGCTGCATCAGAAGACCGCTGAGCTCCCAGAGGAGCAAGGCGTGGATGAAGACAATCAGTGCAAGGGGCTTGGTGGAGCTTCAGCTCACTGTCCACTGGAGCAGGCATGGGGCATTGAGTTGGGTGGGGTTATGAGCTCCCAGAGGAAGGAGAACATGAATCCAGATGACCAGTATGCTCCTCCTACTCTCAACTGGCATGGGCAGTTCCCCTATGTCAAGTGGGGCTCTGTGCTTCAGGAAGAAGGGTGTGTATCCAGGCAGCCAGCACACTACCCTTCACATTCTCTGCTGGTGTATGCAGAGCCACTGGGTCAGTGGAACTCTGGGCTCCCCTGGCTCCTATCTCAAAATGGAAATGTCCAGCAGCAACCTGGGACTGAGGGGTGTGAGGGTGACTCCATCTGCTCCTCTGGGAAAATACAGTCTTGTGGGCTCTTAGCCACTCTACACACTAGGCTCATTGCCCATGAAGGCCTTGTGGTCACCCTGCAGCCTTGTTTGCAGGTGTCTAAGGTGGAAGGGCTGGCAGCTGGTGCCTACCTTGTCCTTGCAGTAAAGGGTTCCTTGAGTCTCCATGCCAGTCCTGGTTGGGAGTTTCTCCTGTCCTCCTATGTTGCTGTCTCAAGTTTTCAGGTCTTGTGGGGGTTTCCTCACTGTTTAGCTGGATCCCATAGTTTTCACTAGACTTCTCTTCAGGTGACTATTTGTTGCTTTTGCCTCTAGTCAGCCACGTTGCTGAGAAAAAAAACGTGGGGGATTAAATTACAACATGAATTTTGGAGGGACAAAACATTCAAACTATAGCAATATTATTCTGCAGGTTGTTTGTGTGTGTGTGTGTGTGTGTGTGTGTTTGTGAGTTTCATTCACTTCACTTTGATAAAGGTAGTTCTATTTCATGAATTTTAACTGTCATTCCATATTTTATTGTATGATATAGCACAGTTTATTTGTTATCCTTTTAGCTGACATTTGAGGTGTTTCTTTTTTTGTTTCTGAATTCCAAACCTTGCTACAATGAGCATTCTTATCTGTGACCCCTTGTGCGTTTCTCTAGGGCATATACCTAGGAGCAGAATTGCCCAGTTGAATAACACCTGCTTTTGCAAATTTACTAGATGTTGTTAAGTTGCTCTCCATAATGGTCATAACAATTTACTCTCCTCCCAGCAATGAAAGAGAATTCCCTCTGTTTAATATTCTCACCAATGTTTAGTATTTTCAGGTTTAATTGCTGCTAATTTCTGAAGAGAGTGAAATTTCATTATGGTTTTAATTTGCACATCCCTGATTCCTAGAGAGATCAAGCATTTTTTCACGATTTGTTCTGTGAATTGCTTGTTCATATTCTTTGCTTACTTTTTTATTGGCTTATTTGGCTTTTTCTTTTTTATTTGAAGCATTCATTATATACTCTGAATTCTAATCTAGGATATATCCTCTCTTATTCTGTAGCTTATTTTTTCACTGACTTTATGGTACTTTTTATGCACAAAAGTTCTTAACTTTCATGGAATTAAATTGATCAGTTTTATATTAATAAATAAAATTCATCAATTTTATATGGATAAATAAGATTTATCAATAAATGTTACCAATTCATAAAAATTAATTTTATTAATTGATTAAAAAATATTAATTTTTTCCAAAGAACAAATTTCTTCCTGGTCTTCTTTAAGAAAATTTTCCTTGTCTTAGGGTCATAAAGATGGTCAACTATATTTTCTTCTAAAAGTTTCAGAATTTTGCTTTTCCCATATGGTTCTTTGATCTACCTGGAATTTATTTTTGTGTATAGTAAAAATAGGGGATTTAATTTTATTTTTTCATATATACATATAGTTAATTGCTTCAGTACCGTTTATTGATAGGCCATTTTTCCCCCTTGGTTTGCAACATCTATTCTACCATGCAGCAAAGCTCCCTATATGCATGGATTGTCTTTTGTCATCTATATTCTTTTCTGTTGGTCTATTTATCTCTCCCTATCCCAATACCATGGTGCCTTAACTACTACACATTTATTAGAAATCTAAGTTCTCATATAGTAAAGGAACCTACTTTGTGTTTCTTTAGGAGTGTCTGGACTGTTCTTGACCCTCAGCTCTTTTTTGTTTTTAAAGTTCTATGAAAAATAAAGTTCTGTTGGAATTTTTATTATAGTTGCATTGAATTTATTATAGATGCATTGCATCACTTAATGTGGGGAGAAGTGACTCCTTCAAGACAGTGAGTCTTTCTCCCCAAAAATGTGGTATATCTGTGTATTTTCCATTAACTTGTCTTCTCTAATAATATTAAGCAAGTTTTATAATATTCTCCACAGAGATCTTGCCCATCTTCTGTTAGACTTATTTCTAAGTAGTCAACTAAAAATATTGTAAACGAATTATTTCTAAAATTTACTTTTTGTTGTTTATTGCTGGTGTATATAAACATACATATCAGCAAACTTGCTGAACTCTCTTATTAGTTCTAATAATTTGTAGATTCTATTGGATATTTTATGACAATAATCTATCATCTACACATAATGACCATTTTGTTTCTTTCCAATTCTTTTACAATATTTTCCTTGCCTTATTATAGTGGCTAGAATCTGTAGTACAGTGTTGAATAGAAGTGATTATACCAGACCTCCTTATTTTGTTCCTGATTTTAGAGGAAATGCTTCCAAGTTTCTCAGTTAAGAATGATGTTTGCTCCCGGTTGGGAAGATAGCCTTTAACAGGTTAAGAAATGCCCTCTTATTTCCAGTTTGCTAAGCATTTTTACGTGAAAGAAAATTGAAATTGTATCCAATACTTTCCTAATTCCTGCCATGTGCCTAGCCCTGGTCTGCCTCTGTGAGGCAGGCCAGAGGCATTTAAGACATGGGTCCCGTCATGAAGAAGAAAAGCAAAGTCCCCACTGGGGAACTGATCCTCACACATGGTTGTCCCCACTGGACTCTTCTTCTGCCCCCAGGACTCTCTGGGCTGCCGCCTGGTGTTCCTGCTCATGCAGTACTGCGTGGCGGCCAATTACTACTGGCTGCTGGTGGAGGGCGTGTACCTGTACACGCTGCTGGCCTTCTCAGTCTTCTCCGAGCAGCGCGTCTTCAGGCTCTATCTGACAATAGGCTGGGGTAAGGCCCACCATCCTTCAGCTCATGACTCCCGTCCACCACCCCCTGAACCTGTGACATGGGGGTGGGAGACTCTGATTCTCTTCCAGTGTGGAAGACTCAGAACACACTGCTGGGCCAAGGGACAGGGCCCTCTGCAGAACCCATCCTGGGCACAGGACCTCCTTCCCATGGGCTGGTTAGGCACTGCAGGGAGGTATGGTTACAGCCCCCCAACCTTTGCATAACTCTCCTCCCTTAATGGAAGCCTCCACCCCCATTTGGCCAAATACCACCTCCTACCACTCTCTTGCACACCATTGGAGGTCGTGGCACTATCCTCCATTACCCTCCTCCTAAGACCATCTGGGGATAGAGTCCTACACCCAGACCTGGCAGCCCAAAGCCCTGAGGGAGATGGTGAGTCCTGGGCCTCAAGGTGGGGAGGGGGAAAGAGGGTGGGGCTGAGAAGTGGGGTGGGGGCTCTTGCTCTGTCACATGATGATGAAGAGGAGGTCTCAGAGGAGAGCCAAGTAGGGTGGGTGGGGTGACCAGAGGACAGTCAAGGAAAGGGGTGGACTGCGAATGTGCCTGGAGCCCAGCTGGAAATGTTCTAGCCAAAAAACTTTGCCAAGAACCATCATGCCTTTTTTTTTGCTAGAACATTTCTGGTTGTGCTTCTGCCTCTCGCCATGTGGGATTCTGATGAGGGGCACGGTTGGGGTAAGGCAGGGGGCTGAGATCCCTGTACTACCAGGAAAAGAGGTGCTGCAGCGCTTCCTGGAGGGCCCACGGGCAACCAGCTGGGACAGAGCAGAGCGTAGGCCTTGTCCACTGGCTCCCCCTACTCCATCTGCCACTGAATCCGCGGGTTTCCCTGCCCCACACCCGCTCCCCGGCCCTCCTTCCCGGCTTGCCACTCATTCATTCACTTCCCATGGTCCCTCATTCATGTGCCTCAGGCTGCTCTGACCACTGCTGCGCCCTGACCTCCGGGGACTTCCCGGCTCAGTCGCAGCCAGCCTCCTCCCTCAGCGTCTGCCTCTGAGACTTTGCAAGGCTGTTCTCGGTCCAGGAATTTTCTCTGAGCATCTTCCCCACACCAGGCTGCCAACACCAGCCTCTTGAGGAAGCTGCCTCAGGCTGCCAGGCCTTCACGGTTCTGTGCTCTCTCTGGCCCTCCCAGCCTCCCTGTCCCCTGTCCTCGTACTTCATTCATTTTTGCTGGTGTTCCTCAGCTACTTTGTTATGCTCAGCCCAGCCCCATGGTAGAAGAGTAGCTCTAAATAGGTTTTAATGTGATCCATGTCTTGAGGGCACAAAGATCCAGAGAGAGGCAGGGCCTTGAAGGCAGAGCAGGCTGTGGAACCCAGGCCTCCCGACTGCTAGTCCCCAGGCCCCACTGCACGGCACACACAGTTCTGTGACTGTGGCCCGTGCTGCATCTCTTCAGTCCCCTGCAGCCCACCGAGCAGGCTCAGGCCTCTGCACAGTGGCAGGTGGGCCCTGGCTTCTCACAAAAATTTCTGCTCCTTCCCATTCTCCCTCCCACACCAGGACCCAGCCCCACCCTGCTCGGCCCTTCCTCCCCTCCCCTCCCAGGTGTCTTCATCCTGCTCCCCAGTCACAGAAGCAGTGGGCAGCCGGCGAGCCCTGCAGCTCACTAGGGGTGGGGGAGGAGGCAGGCCATGGAGGGGAGCTCAGGCAGGAGCTCAGGCAGGGCTGTCCTCAGGGTGGGGGATGGCATCTGCCCATTCTGGGAAATAGCATCAGCTCTGTTAGTGCCTGTCACCATGACAACCTGAGGGCAGGAACAATCAAAGGGACAGTGTGATATGTGCAGAGGAGCAGGGTAGTTGGTGAGGGGGTGGTTGGTTGGGGTTTGGTTGGGACACAGGATGCCCTGGAAATCTCTGAGTGGCAAATGGGAGATGAGATGCCAGTTCTTTTCCTACCACCCTATGCCTTAGCTCAGGGCTCAGGGCCTGTGGGGGCACAAAGGCAGGACTTGGGGAACACTTGTCCCAATCAAAACATCTCAAAACATCCTTTTCTTGAGGAATTGGGGTGGAGAGAGACAGAGGGACAAAGACAGAGGTACAGAGCGTCACAGAGACCTGAGAGCTCTGTTGTGATGCCAGGAGGCCTGGCCCAAGCTGAGATGCTTGGGAAACAACTTTGAGCTTCATGTACAAACAGAAGAACTAAAATTAGGCTTCTACACAGCTGAGGGGAGCCCCCCAAAGGCATGTCAGCTTCTGTGGCAGTCCATGGGCAGTTGGGTGCTTCCAGAATCTTACCACAAGGAGGCTGCACAGGAGGGAAGGCAGGTGATGGACGAGGGAGTCATTATTTCCTGGAGCCACTTCTGTGTGTCTTAATTTGAGCTTTTCCCCTTCCAGCCTGTCTTGGTTTTCTAAATGGGAGAAAGATGAAGCCAGCAGGGAGTGTGTAGTGTTTGCATGTGGCAGGGCTGTGCCTGTGTTTTTTAAAAAGACCTCGTTAAGGAGATGCTGATGGGTGAGTGACGCTTGCCAGGTCTGGCTGATAACATGAGTGAGCTCCGCAGGCCTGGAGCGGGGTCTCAGAGAGAAAGGACAGCGGTAGCTGGGGATGCCCAGAAGGAGGTTTCCATGTGTGTGTAGCTCAGGGAGGTGGCATGTTTTTGCCTAGGGAGCTTCCCCTCCTCACTGATGTATCAACTCACTCATCATTCATTCGTTCATCCCGTTCTCACGGAGCATCTTCCATGTGGCAGGGCCTGTGCTACGTGCTGGGGCCTCTGGAGGCCATCCCGATCCCTGTCCAGTCTCATGAAGGCCTGTTATGAAAGCGTCGTGGATGCTGAGAGGTCTGGTTGGTGTAAAATCCTTGGGCAAGCAGAGAGGAATCTGACGGAGAATGCTGGTCAGCTGTGAGCGTCTTCGCTTCCTCCATCCCTCTCTGCATCATCAAGCACAGTAGATCCAGGCACATGAGTGACTCAGTAGCTGCTCTTGAGTGGACAGTGATGTGTTGAGGATATCAGTGATGAGGACAGGAAGGGCTGTGACGTGGTTCTGCCCTGGAAATGTGCTCCTGGGGTAGCACCCCCCAAAGCCACCCACGCACATGCATAAACCCCCACCACACACACACACTTACTTTGATGCGCACACCCTTACCTATCTTATACACCCACATCTCCAACCCCGAGAGAGGCACCAATAGAAACAGGCGTGGAGAGAGTCGGTGCAGGAAGCCATTGAGGGTGGTTGGAGTGGGCGTGGGATTGTGCATCTGGATTCTAGTCCCACCTGTGCCCGTCTGAGCTCTTGATCCATCTCCTTATCTGTCATGTGAGGGTGGACAATCCAATTTTAAATCAACCAACACAGTTGAGCTCTCAGGGTAAGCTGGGTGCTGAGGCTTGAGGGTGAGTGGAGCCTGGGCTCTACCCACAAGGAACTAGAAACCAGCAGTGTTAGTTAACTTGCTGCATGACAAATGACCCCAAAACTTAGCTGTTTAAAACAACAAACACTTACGTGGGTTTGACTTAGCTGAGTACCTCTGGCTCAGGGTCTCTAACAGAGATGCCGTCAAGCTGTTGGCCAGAGTGCTCTCAGCTCAGGCTCCACTGGAGGTGGAGGATCTACTTCCTGCTCACTCACGAGGCTCTTGGCTGGTGGCTTCTGTTCCTTTCTGCAGGGGCCCTTCTATAGGCTCTCTGAGTACCCTCACGACATGACAACTGGTTTCCCCAGAGCAAGAGATCAGAGAGAGAGAGAGAGCCACACTGTGTTTTATAACCAAATCTCAGAAGTGATATGCCATCCCTTCGGCCGTATGTTATGGGTCACACAGACCAATCCTGCTGTAATGGATTACACAGGGTGTGAGTACCAGGAGGTGGGGATCACTGGGCACCGCCTTAGAGGCTGACTACCACACCAGTCAAGTCTCGGCCACTTGGAAAGTATTGTTGTTGTAGTTGTTGCTGCTGTAGGCTGCTGTGGACAGTTAGTTGGCCTGTCAGAGAGGGTAGGGCTCCTGACTCTATTGCACACTTCTGCGCAGGCCACTCACAGGCTCATGGGTTTGGGAACAGGTGACTGATGGGGCTTCCAGTGCCTGGGGAATTGACTGCGATCAGCCTGTGGGCTGAAGCCAGGGGCAAGGNATGCCATCCCTTCGGCCGTATGTTATGGGTCACACAGACCAATCCTGCTGTAATGGATTACACAGGGTGTGAGTACCAGGAGGTGGGGATCACTGGGCACCGCCTTAGAGGCTGACTACCACACCAGTCAAGTCTCGGCCACTTGGAAAGTATTGTTGTTGTAGTTGTTGCTGCTGTAGGCTGCTGTGGACAGTTAGTTGGCCTGTCAGAGAGGGTAGGGCTCCTGACTCTATTGCACACTTCTGCGCAGGCCACTCACAGGCTCATGGGTTTGGGAACAGGTGACTGATGGGGCTTCCAGTGCCTGGGGAATTGACTGAGATCAGCCTGTGGGCTGAAGCAAGGGGGAAGGGCATCAGAGAGTTCTCCTGTTCCCCACCACATCTGGCATGTCCTCCCCACTGCATGGCCCTGTTCCTCTGCTACTTGGGTGGCTGTGTCCTGGTGTCTCAGATGGGACCCTGGTGGCAAGTCTTGGCAGTGCGCCTGGCACAAGGGAGGGGGTTGACTGGTGGGGACCCCTCTCTAAGGAAGAGTCCAGGAGTCAGTGTGGGGTTCCTGCTGCCTCCATTCTCCCACGCACCCAGACCAACCTAGAAAATGTGGTTTGGGGCCAGGCAAGGAGAGGGGCTGGAGGTGTGAGGGGCCTGGAGTGTGGAGAGGCCTCTGGGAGTGCACGGCAGTGGCTCCGGCCTGCCAGCCCCTCTCCCCTCTCTGTCTTTCCCTCTCTCCTCTCAGGTGTTCCCCTGCTGTTTGTTATCCCTTGGGGCGTTGTCAAGTACCTCTATGAGGATGAGGGGTGAGTGTCCTGCTCCAAGGGGTGGGTGTGCCAAGGTCCCCGTCCTCAAAGTCCATGGGATTCCTTGGTTCTTGGGGCACATGGCTCCCACCTGGTGGGAGGAGAAATGAGGGACCAGGAGCTTAACGTATGAATTTAGCTCTCTAATCCCCCTCCCTGCCCCAGGACTGTAAGATGGCAGATGGTGCTGGGTCTATGCATATGTGGTGCCCTCCTGTAGGATTTTCTGTAACATCTGTGAGTGAAGTGTTTCTGTTATTTCATGTATGATGCTGGGTACACACATGACTGTGTTCGTAGGTCCATGATGCTTGTTTGGGAGGCCGTGTGTCTCTCTCTGTGTGACTATGTGTTGGGGACTGTGTGTTGTGTGTGTTGTGTGCGGATCTGTGAGATTGAAGGTTGGGTAGTTCCCGGTGGCTGTTTGAGTGACTCTGCATGGCCATGTGTATTTGTGGGCCCTGCCCTACCTGTGAGCTGGCGTCTCTGTGAGCCCAACTGCATGCACGTGTGCATCTCTCTCCCTCCCCAGCTGCTGGACCAGGAACTCAAACATGAATTACTGGCTCATTATCCGGCTGCCCATTCTTTTTGCCATTGGGGTGAGTGATGGTGTGGTGTTGGGAATGGGAGCTATGGCAGGCCTGGGCTTGTGCCAGGGGAAGGACTGGGTGGGGGGGGGAGCGAGAGAGTCCCCTACCACCTGCCCATCTGCTCTGCAGGTGAACTTTCTCATCTTTGTCCGGGTCATCTGCATCGTGGTGTCCAAACTGAAGGCCAATCTCATGTGCAAAACAGACATCAAATGCAGGTGATGTAACCTGCTTAGCTTGGAGTCTCCCACTCAGGCCTGACCTGGGACCCCAAAGCCTTGCCCTCACTCCATCCTTGGGCTGCCTGTAGGCTTCTAGGGGGTCTTGACCTATATTCCTTCCCTCTATGCAGCCTGTCTCAGGTTTTGGGGTGGGAGGGCATCCATGACCCAGATGCCAGGTCCTGGTGGGAAGGGTGGAGGGTGCCGAAAGGGTAGAAGCGTTTGTGGGGGAGGCCCAGAATGACTCCAGCGGCCTTCACCCTGCCCCCAGACTTGCCAAGTCCACGCTGACGCTCATCCCCCTGCTGGGGACCCACGAGGTCATCTTTGCCTTCGTGATGGACGAGCATGCCCGGGGGACCCTGCGCTTCATCAAGCTGTTCACAGAGCTCTCCTTCACCTCCTTCCAGGTGACCGCACAGCGACGGGCACTTGCTCATGAAGTCCCAGAGTGGGGGGTGAGCAGACAGCAGCCTGCATCATGCAGATGGGAAAGATGGACAGGCTGAGGCTTGGGGGAGTGACCCCTGCCCAAGGTCACATGGTTGGAGCCGAGCCAGAACTAGTATCCTCAGGTGTCCCGACACCCAGGCCAGTCTTCTCTGTAAGCACATGGGACAAGAAGATTCCTGGATGTAACCCTGGAATCCTGGTATTGCAGCTACCATCTTCTGGGAGGCAGGCACCGTGCCAGGTGCTTTATGCACCCAGGAGATGTACAGGATTACCCCCATTTTACAGAGGCGGATACTGAGGCTCAGAGATGTTAAAGCAAGATTTACAGGGTCACATAGTTCCAAAGCAAAGAATTGATCCTCTCCTCTAGCATTAGATGATGCCACGGGTGTAAAGATAAGAAACTGGTCTCAGCCCCTAGAGAATATTATAGGATGCCTATAAGCACATGGGCCCATGTGTGTGCATTTACATACCTGTGCACACACACACACACACACACAAATAGAACACAGTGCTGGAGCATTGGGTCTCCCGAGTGGACACACGGGGCTGGGGTGGGGAAAATCTCCGTGATCAGAGGTGGGTGCTTCTCCGGATCAGGCCTCCTCATGAAGAGGGCGGTTGTGGAACTTTTGCAGTATCTGAGCAAGGGGCCTTCTTCTTCCTCCAGAAAGGAGATGAGAAGGAACCCACTGCCCCACCCCTGGGTCTGCCCAATTTGAGGAAGGGGATGTTGGGGCGCTTCTGACCAGGGGCTGCCTGCAGGGCGCCTCCCCCTGCTTCCTGTGCGCTGACATGACTCTCGTTTGCAGGGGCTGATGGTGGCTGTCTTATACTGCTTTGTCAACAATGAGGTAAGGTCTGATGAGGGCCGGTGGGGACATGGTCGGCTGCTAGCATTGGCCGGTCTGGAGCTGTGCACTGGGAACTCCCACCAGTGTTTTCGGCTGGAACCCCTAGTCATCCCACTGAAGCCCCACGGTCCAGGAGGCATCTTGTCCATAGGTTCTGTTTTCTGTGCTTGGGTCTCTCTCTCTCTCACACACACACACGTGTGTGCAGGCATAGCCTAACGGTATGTGAGCTTGGGGAAGACCCAGCTTCATGTTAGAGGGTCCTGAGTGAATTACTGGTGTGGTGGTGACTGTTACAAAGTAACTCAACACACACTTGTCCAGGCCACATTCTTGGGCCTTTAATAATCACTTTCTTATTTAGTTGTCAACCCCCTGCCCCAAATAACTCTGCTAAAATTCAGATTTCAATATTCCAGTTTTTCACACACGAGAACACTGAAGATCAGCGAGAGTCAGAAACCTGCCCCAGGTTTGCCCTGGAAGTTGTGGCAGAGACAGGATTCACATGAATTCTGACTTAAAGAAGAAAGCCCCCTGTTCTGTGTGCACAGACACGAGCCATGGGAAAGGGGATGAATCCCTCCAGCGGTGCCCTGATTGCTGGGCTGCGAGGAGGGGTTCTTGATGACCCCGTAGCTTCTTCTGCAGACTCCTGCAGGACTGCAGGCCTTCCTCTGCTCCCTGAGATGTCAGCCCTGGTAGCAGGGGGTGTCTGTGTCTGTGGCACCTGGACAAGGTCTGTTACCCCCAGGAACCCCACTTTGTGCTGGAAAAGAGCAGGAGCACCCCCAAACCATCAAACTGGATATCACAAATGCCTCAGTCCCCCCTCCCCATTCCTTGCAGAGGGGAAAATGAATGATAGTCTTAGGGGCAGCACCAGGACCACCTGGAGAAGTGTCTACAAGAGGATTAGCCCCTAGCAGGGAGAGAGTCAGCAACCCACAGCCCCACAGTCTGGGGTGGGGGGAAATGGGGACTTTGTCAACTCCATCTAGGCCCCGGTGAGGGTTTGCATCAGTGGGGCTGGGGCTCAGGTAACCCAGGAACACTGTTCTTTGAAGACCTGGGCTCTTTTTGTGGCTGAGCCTGGAATCCTACAGCTCAGACGTGTTAGGGTCAGTGCATTAATACACCCTTGTCTTTAGCTGTGGGTGTGGGGAATGCAGGGGAAGAGTGGGTGGGGACCTCAGTATTTCAGGGAGCTGAGTCTTCATAAAGAACCTCTTAAAAACTGCAACAAGGGCCGGCCCAGTGGCGCACTGGAGAGTGCGCCGCTTGGGAGTGCGGCGGCGCTCCCGCCGAGGGTTCGGATCCCATGTGGAGACCGGTTCCCGCTCACTGGCTGAGCGCGGTGCGGGCGCAACACCGAGGGTTGCGATCCCATTGCCAGTCCCCGGTACGGGCGCGACACCAAGGGTTGCGATCCCGTTACCGGTCAGTAAAAAAA